AAAAGGGGGGTTGTTAAGTATCTTAACAATGAAATTTTCCTGATTTCCCAATATATATTTTTTTTCAATAACATTATATATTATTGTTATTTTACTGTTGGTTGGCGAATTTATTGATTAAAAAAAATAACAGTGTACTTTAGAGTGAATGTGTTGGCTTGACAGATCTACTCTATCGACTTTAAAAATAAATCGAATAAATAAAACATCGCCCTGGGAAGGGAAGGGGGTGGTATGTCTGTTACGGGTGAGTCCTTTTTTTAATGGTTATGGATTGAGATTCGATCCGGAACTTGTGAGAAATGGAGGCCAACTCCCCTGCACTCGATCTCTCTAGGTCACGTCTCCTTGGTGGTTGAGCGTCGTTGATAAGTTAATGCATTCTACTGGAGAGAATCGCCCATGAAATATGCTTCCACCTGAGAGTTCCTTCCTGACATCTTCAAGTGATGGAATTTTTATTATTATATTGTATGATTATTGACTGCACGGAAAAGGTCTGCATTAAGCGGGATTTAGATGAGGCAGGTGAGTTGAATTCAACTCAAACCGATCTGGTCGTAGGCGTTCAATTTACTTGGCAACGAATAGAGCAAGTCTGATATCGGTCAGATTTCTGGACGTTCATTTCGCAGTTCAAACGTTCAAGTGAGTTGAACGCTGAATTGAACCATCTTAACCCAGCTTTAGAGAGGGTCTAGGATAAGAGATGAGTGGACGCGGACTGGCTGGTTTTGAGCCAAACGAACTGTCAAAGCCAGAGCCATACGAGCAGCGCCTATCTCTATTACATTGGTAGTGTTGCTGACCCTCTCTGCATGCTTCAATCAGATTTATTTTTATTGTTCGTGAACCACAATAAAAACACACCAATATTTAATGTAACAACAATTTTTATTGTAATAGATTTGTTCATTATGACGAGGCTCGGTAGCTCAGTGGTTACCGTTTCTGCTTACTGATCCCAGGCCCGTCCCCTTCCTTGCAATTTTTCACTTTGCCTTATTCTATACCCACTAGATTTTAATGAAAACAAATTCTTCTTTAACACCGATCGCATCACTTACCTTAGTGTGGGTACTGATCTAAAAATAGAAATTGGATGAGTGCGCGCGCGCGTGTGTGTGTGTGTGTGTGTGTGTGTGTGTGTGTGTGTGTGTGTGTGTGTGTGTGTGTGTGTGTGTGTGTGTGTGTGTGTGTGTGTGTGTGTGTGTGTGTGTGTGTGTGTGTGTGTGTGTGTGTGTGTGTGTGTTTGTGTAATATAATCGCTCTACCAAAAAATGATCCCTGCGTGTGCGTGTAACCTTTCCCCACATCCAACATCCCAGTGATTTCTCGTGGAAGCGCAGAGGATTTCTCGGTTTCCTTCACAGCGAGTACCACGTCAACACATTCCTTCCCATTCCCTAGTTGACCCGAGGGGGCGACACATCTAAATCTCAATTCCAGATGCTCAAAAAATCTCACACTAGCGAATCAATCTTCGAAAAATCATCTTTCATTTCTCGCATCTACTTGCATCGTGCTTCATCTTTTTGCAGAAAATCTTCAAAATCGACATAAATCTTCCTTATATCTACTCAGCGTGCATGCAGCTAGCCACAGTGAAACACAATCTTTTCTGCATCGTAGATAGAGTCGTCCCCCTCGAGTTGACCTGCATTCGGACACGGCCGGCGCTGGTATTGCTAAATATTAGATCTCCAGTCCTTACACATTGAAGATGAATGTTAGTCCCAAACATCATCTGTTGGGAACTTTTTTCTTACCGTGTACACGGAAAGATGAAATCGACAGTGAGCATTCATAAGGGCGTATACGCGATGATCGATTCTCTTCATCGAATTTCTCTTTGCATTGCTACAGCTAAGCGAAACAATTTTCTAGAATTTGTTCAATGCAGAGCTGTAACAAGTTGTATTAGCTATCAAAAGCAATAGCAAACGTACCGAGAAACGTTAAATCTAGCGAGTTATTAACAAAAGAGAAAATCGATGAAGAGAATCGATCATCGCGTATAGGCCCTTATGCATGCTCACTGTCGAAATAACTCAAAATCGAGATGAAAAGTACACTCAAAAATATTATTAATCTAAGAATAATTAAAATTTATACATTTTATGATTAATCACTATATATACATTGATTCAAATATATATTTTTTCAAAATTATACTAAGTCTGAATACCGGTGAAAAATTCATTCAGTATATATATCGCTGACAGCAAAGCAGTGGAAAATAATTCGAAGTGATGAGTCCATCAATCCCCTCGCGTGCGGAAAGTGCTGAGTGATTGGAATTCGGAGAAATCACCCGACTAAAAGACCGTTGATGCTCGTGTTTGGATCATCAGTCACAATTGTTACTGGGGAACACCGATCCCACTGTGGATTTCTTCCGACGGCTAGAATGTTGTGTGCTTTAGGATCATCGAAGAGGTTCTCGTCAGGTTGTTCGTGGAGACTTGATGAGAGGTCGTTTACTGATCTCGACGACAGAGCATACATTGAACTGCGTCTGAACCAACGCATTCTGGTGAAAGGTATTTCTTTTTATCTAACCCTACCTAAAAAAACCAAGGCCACTTTATATTTCATCTAAATCTTTACAGGCAAACACATCTGTATATTTTAAAAATCCACTTCAAAAGGAATGTTTTTTTGCTTCCGAAAAACGGAACGTTCAACAAACGCAAATAGCTTATCACCATTATCAATCACCGGATACTCGATAACGGCATCATCAATCGACAGATAACGGATTGTGTGCAGCAGTTACTAGTGACTGTCTGATGACAAAACTCCAGAGGCAATAACGTATTCCGGAGCTTATTAATTAAGGAAAGAGATTTATCCCAGCGAACTAAAATCAGTGAAAATTAAAGTAGCACCAGTAAGTAACCTAAACAAATAAAACCATTCACACATTCATTCCACTTCTAAATCCAGGGCAGGTAAATTTGAATGTCGAGTTGAAAGTGCTCATCAATTGTTCCCTCAACCATAACAGACGAAACTGTGAACCTGTTCTGTTGGAACCACTGGAAGGAAATCATATACCGTTGATGGCCGCTGCGGAAATCATTTACCCCTGAGGCCGATGCACGACTATGATGCAATTGGTTCAAAAAAATGCTGCTTGCTGGTTCTGGATTGGTGATATGAAGTTCGTTTTGTCTTGGCTAATAAAATTAATTTGACTTTTATTAATATTTTATTCTATGTCCATGAAAAATACCACTGATAAGAACTGACAGCATCTAAATACATTCGCCCGAATATTCCAACATTATACATTCAACCAATAATCCCAAATTATACTATACCATATATAAACGATTTTTATACTAAGTTCGTATTCTCTCTCTTTATACCGACCTATGCGTCGGTCAGGAGAGTTGCGATTTAGCGTAGCTTTTATACTATTTAGATTTGAATATTTTTTGAGTGTACTTAAAAATAAGTACTTCTCTATCACTACTGTTTTGCGTACAATTTTGTTCTCATTGATGATTACTTTAAACTTAATCTTGAAGTACAACGATAACTCTTACGCTTCGTTAATTGTACTCAAACAGTAGTCTTGAGAGAGTTCATATTTTTGCGAAATTTTTATCTCGATTTTGAGTTGTTTTGTTTTCTTCACTATGAAAGTATCCGAAATCAAGTGTTGCGATTGCACTTGGTTTTGGATGAAAAATCGCAGCGTGCGCCATATGCATTTTGCGTTTTTTGTCGCCTGGCGAAAGCAAAAAACCGACAATTTAATTTAGTGAATGTTGTTCGAAAAAATTTGATTAACTTAATAACGGGCTATTAAATGTGGTAGGTTTACATCTCCCATATGGAAAGTTAAAAAAAAATGTATACATGTATTGAAATTTTTAATTTCTAGGATCTCAAGAGATATAGATGGTGTCCGGATCTGAAGATGTCAGTTTCCCGTGTACTTGGGCATGCGTAGCTAGTCCAGTATTCGCGTTAATTATTCCGAACACATTTGCCAGCGTGATCGGCGAAGGATTGCTGAAGATTGGGAGCATCTCACATGCTAAGAGAGCTAAGAGTAGGTGGATAGTTGATTGAATTTTGCAGTACAAACATTTATAGTTAAATTCATTCTAGATTCTAACACTGGACTGGTTCCCCGACTGATGCAAGCTAAATTCCAACGTCCTATTGGATTTATCGGAACATAGAAAGGACATCGAGTTTGCAGCAAAGAAGTGTGAAATATGCAGCAACAGGGAGTACTGGTACTATTCTCACCAAGATTTTGTTTTAATAATTTTAAGTTCTATTAGTGTTTATAAAAAATCAAAAATAGAACTACTATAACTGATTTGTAATGGTCAATATAAACATTGAAGAACAAAATTAACCATCCAATTTTTATTCAATATTTTCTAAATCAATACTCGATTTTAAATACTTTTTATCCAACATTCGCTCTTCATGAAACAGTTACATTTCACACAACACGAAGTTTTCGCAAAATACTCAAAATTGGATACTTCGCAATGAACTCAATTTTGACTGGTTGCACTTAGCTGTCAAGATGAGTACAAAAGACTTAATTTTGAGTTGTTTCGTCTTTCCGTATACGCCCTTACACGGTAACCGCAAAATACCCAATAATGACTACAAAGTAAGCATTTTCGAGGGAGACTGGGACTACCCATTAAATGAGTAAACAGATTACCCATTTATGAGTATTTGTTATTCAAAAATGAATACTTACTACTTGTTTTTGTAGTTGTAATTACTCATAAATGGGTAAAATTTTACGCATTTATTGGGTAGTCCCAGTTTCCCTCGAAAATGCTTACTTTGTAGTCATTATTGGGTATTTTGCGGTTACCGTGTAACGAATCAATCCGGAATTACGATTCAATGTGTACGTTTTTGGGCACAACTTTACAACTTCTTGGGCACATCAGAAATACCGAATTCTCAAAACTTACAGCATAACAAATTTGTTCGTTTGACAGATGAGAAGTTCTAGAAGAAAATGCAGCAAATGCCGTACAATGTTTGCAAGTTTGATTGAAATTATACTTTAAAATCCATCATTTTGTGCTAAAAGTGAGTAAATCGTACTTATTCTATCATATTCCTTATATTGGAAATATGTTTGCCTTCAGATGAATGAAAGCGAGGACCCAAAGGAAGAAAAAGCTTCCAGCGCCACCACCACCACAAGTTCGACCTCGATGACCACGGCCGAAATGTTCCCGCTGAACATCAAAATCAAGCAGGAGAAAACGACCAGCTATGAGGATTCAAGCAAGTCCGAAACCGTAGACAAACTGTCCATTGATTTGAACTTGTCAAACATATTTTCGTCAACAACGACGACTAAAACGGCACCGACAGCAACCGCAGCAGAAGCGGCTCACGCTGATGAAACAGAAAAGGAAACCAAATCTGTCGAACCGATCAAATCGTCCAACGAGATATTGACGGAACTGTTCAAGGTGTTCAATGCGGCCCCACCGGAAATCGTAGAGGACGATTCCAACGAAGGCAATGAGAAGAAAAAGAAGAAGAAGAAACACAAGAAAAAGTCCAAAAAGAAGAAAAAAGGTGGCAGTGAAGGGGAATCCTCTTCGGCTTCGGATACGGCCGAGGAAGGAGAGATAAAGAAAAAGGTGAAAAAGATAAAGAAAGAGAAGGATAAGGATAAAGAAAAAGACAAGGAGAAGCACAAGAAACATAAGGCGAAGGACAAGCTTAAGGAGAAAGTGGAAAAGGTGCCCGTTAAGACGGAGATGTCCTCGGTGGTGGTGGTTAAGAAGGAACCGAAAGAAAATAGGTACTACTCGCGGGACGGTAGAGATTCCAGGGAGCCCAAGGATTTGCATCATCCTCGTCACAAGTAGGATCAACCCGTGTTTGATGGTTGATTACTTCATGGAAACTAATATTTGATTATTTTTGCAGCTCGCGGGACGACTATCATGTGCGGATTAAACAAGAGAAGGAAGATCGTTCCTATAGAGATTTCTCATATGAAAAAGAACGGGAACGAGACTGGGAACGGGAACGGGAACGAGAAAAAGAGAGGGAGCGAGAGCGGGATCGGATTCGCGAAAATGAGCGCGAGAAAGAAGACCCCAAATCGAGAAATAAGATTCAAATCAAAAGTCTGAAGGACAGTGCCGTTTTTAAGGAAGCTGCTTCCAGGGAAAAGGAAAAGGAACGCGAAAGAGAGAAAGAGAAAACGCGGGAGAAAGATAGGGAAAGAGACCGACGTCCGGATCGGTCGGATTCGAGAGAGCTGAGAAAAAGGCGATCGGATTCGGAAGTTTCTTTGTCCGATGAAGAACCGTACCGGCAGGGCCGGTATTATGACTTTTATCAAAAGAAGTACAACTCGTTCTACGCAAGCTATAAGGAGGAAGAACACTACAGAGATCGGAAGCGAAGGCGAAGTGAGGAGAGGGATAGACATCATAAGACTAGATCCAAATCGAGATCTCGTTCGCCGCAATTTGATAAGCAGAAGTTGTTAGAGATTGCAAGGAAGAATGCGATAACGATGCTTAAAAAAGGAACACTACCAGGTGCTCAAGGATTGGATAAGGAATCTAAGGAGATGCTGATCATGAAGATGAAAACCAGTGGCAAGAGTATTGAAGAATTGACTGAGTACTGTAAGAAGATTTCGGATAAGGAAAACTTGAACGAACTGTCGAGTGTATCATCCGATGACAGTGATCACGATGCGGAAGGGGGATCGAAAGCCTTCCACCATCCTTTCCAGATAAAGGATCCTGGTCCGATTGTGATGAATATCAAGAATTCCGTTCCATTGCAACCGAAAACGGCCGAGCAATCAAAAGCTTTGATGTTGCAATTTCCTGTTTCATCTGGTGCTCAGCACAAGAAGATGGAAAGTGATTGGATGCCAGTAGAACCGAAACCAGCTGCTCCAGTAGCAGTAGTTCGTCCGGAAAAACCTCTTCCTAAGTTTCTACCAACCTCTGCTACGTTTGTCGCATCATCAACGCAACAGCAACCTGCGTACACGCCAGTTAATCCCCCACCCGGACCACAGGTCCTTCCTTCGGATGTACCGCTACCCGGTCCATCTATTGTACCACCTGTCGCTCCAGTTCCGGCACCTGTTGTTTCGGTCGCTCCTGTTGCTCTTCTAGCAATCGAGGCCCCACCTCCGTGTACAACTCCTGTGGGAGTACCAGCAGTTGATACCCCCCTTGTATTTCCGACCAATCCAGAAGCGAATAAACTGGACGTTTCCACCATCATCTCTAATCGTCTGAACGCCATGCGCAAGCTGCAGGATAACCCGGCCGATGCCGAAGCAATCAAGCTGCTCTACAACACCCAGAAGGACATGTCTGCTTGGGCTTCGTCGAAATTCACTCCCGGGCAGTTCTTTGGTTCAACTGGCGTCCAATGTCTCACACCTCGTGAACTTGCCGAAGGGTACCAACCGTGGGCCAAGCGAGACTCCATGAAGCATACCGCTCCCGTTACCGGTGGGATGGGAATGCATCTACTGCAAAAGATGGGTTGGATTCCCGGTGAAGGTCTCGGAAAGGAAAAGAACGGATCGCTCGAACCTCTGCTGCTGGACGTGAAACTGGACAAACGAGGTCTGGTGGCCAGCGCCGAGGATCACCAACGGCAGGTTCAATTCCAGATTCAACAGCAGCACAGCGGACGCCGGGCACGATTTACCAACGTCAAGATCAACACCGACGGCAAGCACCCGGTTTCGATTCTGGGGGAGTACTCGAGCAAGCGCAAATGGATGCCACCGCGGTACGATCTGGTGCACGAAAGTGGTCCCGGCCATGCGAAGAACTTTGTGTTCAAGGTGATCGTCAACGGTCTGGAGTATCAACCGGCCATTGCGAACAATACGAAGAAGGAGGCCAAGGCAACGGCGGCCAAGTTCTGCCTACAGCAGCTGGGTATTTTGCAGTCTTAGAAGGTAGGTGGAACAGGGTGGAACGTGTTTTATTTGTACCTTTTCAGTAAGTTATCCTTTCGCTGTATGTATGCGTGAACAGTGGTGGAATTACTTCTATTACACAGCGGGTACTAACGTCGAACTTGAGAACTTGTATGTCTCCTCAATAAACTAAGTTAATGTGCAGTCCTAATAGTAGACTACTTTTTGACTCATAGAAAGTACGAGAAATGTCCAGTCTAATGTGATAATAAATTAGTCAACGGTAGCTTCTTTACTCATAACTAACTATTGGTACCTATCTGGTCGTCCTGTTGTCCACTTTCGATATCTAATTGTTGCTACTGCCGGTAGATGGCATAACTGTCCCATGTTCCATATGGTTCTGCTATATCTAGAAGAACATTTTAAAAGGTCCTATCTGCTTCGATCGATTCTCTTCATCGCCTTTCTCTGTCGTTAATAAGTGCAATGCTGCAAACGCATTCTCCAGGCAATTTTTGCAATCTTGATTATTCATCAAAACGATTTTTTTCTCTGACATTTTTGCATGCCAAAGTCTTCTTGAAATGCCTGTCCCTTAGTTGAGGCCCTTGAGGACTTTTAGAATGCCAGTTCCAATAATACCACAGAAGAAAGGGTGAAATTTATGGAGTAGGAACTGTGCAGTAAGATTTATTCTTGGGTAGAGCGTCGGGTGGACACCACGTCGAACTATCAGCTTTAGACATAGCAAAAGCTTTTATTGGAGCTTGGATGTCAGATGTCATCTGATAAATGGCTGATTGGGGCCTTGGCGGGCACCTGATGCATTTCGTGAAGAATCTCTTGGCAAACCGCACCTTTCAGGTACTTCTGGGAAACCACCGTTTCGCAACATTCCGAGAGGAGACTGGCGTACCACAGGGTTCGGTTATCGCGGTCACTAATTTGTATAAATGGGGTTTTCGTTAACCTTCCTAAGAGCAACCGTAACGGTACGCTGCTAAACTCATTTTAGCAGCCCTCATCATAGCGCAGCTACCGTATCGGGGGTTGCCATACGAGTAACTAAAATAGCAGTCGGCTTTTCGGTGAGAAGCGCGGTACCAAATTTAGCAGCGCGGGAGAAATGTTGCTATTCGTAGAAATGTCAAAATGCTCACTACCGGTACGAACTACGGCGAGTAAATTGATAACCGCGACAACGACCGTTACGGTTGCTCTAAGGAAATTTACATCTTTGTGTACGCTGATGACATTATCCTCGTGATCACTCACAAAACCATAAAGGCACTACATAGAAAGATGGGCGCTGCCACAAGGGCAGTCTCCCTGTGGACGTCACTGACTGGCTTCCAACTCTCAGCCGAAAAATGCACACTGGTGCACATCTGCTCTCACCATCATCTTTACACTCCCGTCTGTATCAATGGTACAGCTATTCCCATCAGGAGGTCAGCCTGTATCCTCGGAGTTCGAATTGACCGATATTTGACCTTTTCTGCCCACTTCGACGAAGTCAAGAACGCCTGCAAGACACGTCTTAATCTGCTACGATCCATCGCGGGTCGACACCCAGACAGTAACCGGCCCATTCGGCTTCGAGTTGCTAGAGTAATTTTGGAATCACGTTTCCTTTAATGGAATCGAAGTTACCTGTCTCGCTCGCGAACAACTTATTACAAAACTAGCCTCTACATACCATCAAGCCATCCGTATCTCATCCGGCCTACTACCATCCACACCTGCAATTGCAGCTTGCGTGGAAAGTGGAGTACTACCATTCAACCTTCTAGTTACTCAGACCATCTGCAACCGATCAATTGGCTTCGAGGAGTAGACAGCTGGCTCAGATGAAGGAGTTTTCCTCTTTACCGAGGCCAAACAACTCCTTTCAGTGTTTTGCAGTTGGGTGTGGTGAAATTCGTACATACCCGGTTGATTGTGGAAATCCGTATCACAAAATTGCCCACCGATTCCTAGATGCGACCCTCCTCCCAGATGACCATGGCAATGCAGGAAGTATTACAACAAAGGTAATTGCTATTAGGTATTTTTGCAAACAGTGACAGATAGCGGACATGAAGAACCAGTGGAGGTGCCGGGCAAAGGCGTTATATCCCAGACAAATAGTAAGTTACAAATTCACTGTTGTCGTTGTCGTAGGCGCCGTCGTAATCGCCGTAGGCAGTACCGTTAGTATATTTAAAATTAACCATCAACCGCTAAAAATATGAACTATCGCGTATTTCTGTTGTTCATTACATGCCAAGTGAAATTCTAGAACGTAATTTCATTTGAATAGCTTGTTTAACCTGGTCTTAAACAATCGTCACGTCGGTCATAGCTTGTTATGATTGCCTGAACCATGCGTAAAGAGAAAATCGAAATATTGAACGTCGCGTCAAAGTGGATCTTAATGAAGGCCCAAGGACAACCAGAAGTCGTATAACAATGTACAGACAGTATTGTAAATTGCTACAGTTTAAGTCAAAATCGCATATAAGAATGGCATACCTCGCATTATGTTTAAGTTAAATCGTATAGAATGCAAATTTCCAACCTATATGCGATGACTCATTTTTCCGTCGTACTGTATCACAAATTAAATCGGATTACATCGTAAGACTTTTCAAAATGAATTTGTTATTACATATTAAAACGTATATGATGTTAAATCAACTCGTTTAAAATTAAATGAAAATATGCACATATATGGCCTCCACTTTTGTACGTATAAGCCATTTCTTTGCATTCTATACGAATTGTTTGTTTGTATATCACGAAAACAACTTTGAATATACGTGCAATCTGGTTGTCTGCCCAACAAACAATTTTAGCTGCAGCTTAGCTTATACAGACAAAAATTAGCTGCATAAGGCAAATTTTGACTGTATAAGCTTATCTGCAGCTAAAATTGTTTGTTGGGTGGGTACTCTTTCGTAGCTTTTAGTTTTAGGATTTCAATGATCGTCGATTGCAGTGGCTTGCTTACTAAGCAGAAAAACGCGGCCCCAGGTCCTTTCATATTAAAAATGTATGGTAAGATCGCTTATTTATCGTGTATTTTGTAAAACTTTTCGTTGTCGTCGGTGCCGGGTTTGAATAGTTACAAAAACTTGAGTAACGCTATAATGTGATATGAGGGGCTTGGTGGCCTTAGAGCAACCGGTTTTGCTTACTGAGTAGAACATCATGAGTCTAATTTCAAGCCCATCCACATTCAAGATTCGTCAATCGTTTTATTTGTTAGCATGACTACATGGTAATAACAGCAACTCGATGATAAAAAGGGAGCTCGTCTGCCTAGTGGCAAATGTATTGAAGACCGTGGGTTCAATCCCAAGCTCCTACGCGTTATGTGATTGTTAGGACATCAGTTCAGCTTATCGTTTACCAAAACGAACCCTGCTGCAAACCCAACCCAATTACCCAATATCCCAGTGATTTCTCGTGGAAGTGCAGAGGTGTTCTCGGCTTCCATCAAAGCGAGTGTCACGTCAACACAATCCTTCCCCTTCCTTTCTTGACCTGTGTTCGGGCGCGTCCAGCGCTGGTATTGCTTAGTTTGAGATCACCAGTTTTAACACATTGAGGATGATTGCTAGTCCCATGCATCGTCTATTGGTTCTCTGTGTAATTACAGCTGGTCTGGCAATAACAGAGTAGCAACCGTGGGCGGTCAATCATGCTCATGCTTACCGAGGCCAAACAACTCCTTTCAACCATCGCCAATCTGGAGCTCCCCCCGGTGTCTAGCATACATAGGTGTGGAGTCAGAGATTGGAACCTGCCCGGGCCCATTATCATTAAGTTCAAGGCATGATCCAACTCTACGGCACTTGTGAGATCAACTCCAGAAAACCAGATACTGTAACCACTGCATCCGTTACTCCGATGGATCGGTTTCCCGTGAAGGGGTTGGCATCGGCATCACGGACCCCCCAAATGTGCGTACTTCATCGACTTTCAGACCAGTACACTATATTCTCGGCAGAAGCGGTCTCTGCTTTTAATGCTGCTACGACTCCCTCAAACGGACTCCGCAAGTGTAGTTCTAGCCCTCAACTCAGACACTATCAAGCACTCATGCATCCAAGCCATTCATCGGCATGCTTGGCATACACAGTTCTGCTCACGAACTGCTCATTTGCACAGAGTTGACGAAACATAGTTCTGTTTGAAGCAGTCGATAGAATAGAGTTTAAGCTTTTTAAAGATATGTAAAAAAAAGAAGGAGATAGTTGAAGATGCTAATTTCAAATAACAGACTGTAGTGGTAATTTTTATACGATAGATGGAGTAGATGAAAGCATAGAGTTGATAGTTCCGTTAGAGTACGGCAGTGTGAAGGTTGTATATAGATATTAGACAAGCGAGCTAGGACAACTTTTAAGGAAGGTACAAATCGGTTTTTTTCATCTCTCTTTACCAAACTCCCCCTTTCTTTTTGCCAGTGGTGGCGGGGGGGACACCCCTCACCATCCCTCTCCAAAGGGGGAGTTTGGTAAAAAGAGAGATGAAAAAACCGATTTGTACCTTCCTTAAAAGTTGTCCTAGCTCGCTTGTCTAATATCTATATACAATCTTCACACTGCCGTACTCTAACGGAACTATCAACTCTATGCTTTCATCTACTCCATCTATCGTATAAAAATTACCACTACAGTCTGTTATTTGAAATTAGCATTTTCAAATATTTTCATCTGCCGCCATTTTGAACAAAAAAATACACAAAGACATTTTTCACACTATGAGGTCACTTAAAATTTACATGAACTTCACTTAACATTTACCAGTATGACACTTGAACTCCATCAGTCAATCTAGTGGAATTTATTATCATGTCATTGATATTTATGTGCAGCATGTAATTCTTATTGTATTCCTATTTTTGAAAGGTTACCTGATTTTTCAGGTGAAATTTACGTTTCTCGTTAGTTCAGTGTAAGACTGAATTAAATTTTTCCAATCGATAAAAATACACTTAGCTCTTTCTGCAAGCCATCCAAACTGTTTGCCCCGCATCGTACGATGGTCACGTCGGTCGTCCGGTGAGAACTACTTACATCGCATCGCTCGTCGTTAATTTTGGAAGTCAGCGAATTCTCTATGTCGCTCGGTTGCTGACTCGCGTCCTACATCTCTCCAACCTTAAAATTGTTACAAAGAATAGAATCCCAATAATACAAATTTTGGCCCTGAATTGGCCATACAAGCACAGACAACAAACATTTAACGATTAATTTAAAAGTATCGTAGTTGGTAGTATCGCCACCTGTGGTGCGTGTAGTCATTTCCCTTGAGATTTACGTTTACACACTACCGCCATCTTTTCAGCGTACTGTTGTACGACAATGTTTTATAGTGAGAAATATTTAGTGCATGTCGTAGTACCTCTTTACTAGAAAAATAATGAGGTATTCCTCTTCGATGCAGTTAAATCATAGATGCACTTTTCACAAGAAGCCTAATTCATTGTGATGTTCCGCATGATTCGAAGCGTTCTGGGACCTTTTCAAAGACGCGGCCTCTCATCAATCAAAATAGGTCTTACATGATTCCTCATTCAGTTGTGATGCTCCGTACCATTTGAAAAGTTCTGGAACCTCCACAAATATGCGCCTTTTTACCAATCAAAATAGATCTTCTTAGTGACAAAAACAAGCGATGATACTGATATTTGATTATGCAGCAGAACCCTGTCCAGAACGTTTTCTTGTATCCAATCCAATCCAATCAAAACCGAGATTCATAACCGTCAACAAGAAGAGCGTACAGCCAGAGTTCGATGTGCTAGATCTTATACCAGTAACGCACCACGAAAACGTGATCTACCAGCGTTACTGAGTATAATGCTGCAGATGCTGCTGTGTCAGGGAGTCCGTCATCATTTAAGAAGTGCACATATTTAAATGAGTAATTATTTTCCATAATACAAAATCCGCTCCTAACACGACAAACACTGAAAAACAAATACTTTTAACAGTCACCTTCTTTTCCATCAGCTATCTTATCCTGTTCTTTTTGATCGTCTTCTTCTGCTTCTTCTTTCTTCTGCCCATCAGCTATCTTATCCTGTTCCTTTTGCTCGCCTTCTTCTGCTTCTTCTTTCTTCTCTCCATCTTCCATTTCCGCATCTGGTTCGCCCTCTTCATTAGTATCACCCTCAACCTTATCCTCGCACTCGCCCTGATTTTGCTGCTGCTGCTGTTTTTCCTCTTCGAATCGTCTGCCCAGAGCATTAACAATGGTGAAATGATTCATAACTTTCGCCTTGGCGTATTTTTCATTCAGCTTGTCCAGGAGCTCGTTTGCACCCCGGTTGCCCGGTTTAAAGTGCACCTTGTAGTGATTGCGAAGATCCGTTAACAACCTAAATGAATCCTTGCAAAGCTCGCACTTGTATGGCTTATCACCCAGATGGTTCCGGCTGTGTTTAACCAGATCGTTACTCTGAGCAAAGGCACGGTCGCAATAGTTGCACTTGTACGGTTTTTCGCCAGTGTGGGTTCGCATGTGCCGCTTCAGATGGCCGGATCCGAAGAACCTGTCGAAGTAGGTAGCAACTATTAGAGAGTGTTCATCAAACATACTTGGGGTGGAGGTGGAGACGAAAGCATCTTCTATTCTGATTCAGGTGTGGGCCTCTCTGCCGTTATACTAGTAAGTGTCCCATGGTCCATAAGGATTGCATGGGAAACTTATGCGTATAACGGAAGTTCTGAAGTTTTGTTTCTGAATTATTCAAATTTGGGTTATTTGCATTTTTTTTTTCTCTAAAAGTATGTCGATTTATGTAAAGCAAAGTGCATTTATTTCAAACTAGACTAGATACTGCTACTTACCTCATGGAACATTCAGTACAACCATATGGACGCTCTCCTAAAATAAGCAAGTAGGTTACAACATCAACGGAAACTCCCAAAATATATTCTCTGCCATACCCGTGTGCTTTGCCGTGTGACTAACTAACGAGTATTGCGAAGTAAACCGCGACCCACAGATATCGCAGGCAAAATTCCGCTCCCTGGTGTGTGTCTGCATGTGCTTTTTCAGGCTGCTCTTCGAGTAGAATCGCATCGGACACTGTTCGCAGATCACATTGCGCTGACCGGTATGCTTTACCACATGCACCTGTAACGCAGCGGAACATGGAAATGTTTGATCGCACTGATCGCACTTGAACGGGGTATAATTGACATGGTTACGGGCATGAAGCCGGAGACCCGTAGAAGTCGAAAACCGCTTCTTGCATACTTCACACGAGTGCTTTTTACCCGTCCGATGGAACAGTCGATGATCTTCCAGTTGGTTATAGCTGAAAAATACGTCGTCGCATTCCTGGCAGGGTTTGATCGAATTTGCATGATTGGTTTTCATATGCTTTTGGATTGTCTTTTTCGTCTTGAAGGTGGCATCACACAGTTCGCATTTTCGAATTGGGGCACCGATGGGGTAGATTCTTCCCGTTACTTTCAGATAGTCGTTGGTTGGATCTACTTTGGTTGATTCAGTCGATCCAGAGGTACCGCCGTCCTCAGTTTGAGGTTTATCTTCAGCCGTTTCGGGACATGGAATTGCAACGTCGTCTTCCATCAATTCTCGCTGAATAATAATCATCTCCCATAGCTTGCGATCGCTTTCGATGCAAGTCTCATGTAGTTCATATGCTGCTAAAATTTTTAGCTTACAATTAAAGCATACGACCTTGGGCATTCCAAATGATTCCCTTGCCACCTGTTCGTGGATTTCTTCACTGTCGAATACCGATGCACAGATTGCACTTAGCATCGTGTGCAGACTTGGCCGAACCGGGTCCGGCGATTTGTAGATGTATTCCATATTTTTGCCCACGGCATTCTTCACGCAAACTCGACACAGTCTGGACGCGTCAGTGTCTACCTGGAAGTTCATTGTACCCACAGTAGTAAATTCCACACAGATTTATATTTAAAACTTAATGAATTCTAATCGATCACAACAACACAAGTTATTACAATTCACACAACACGAAAAAGATTTAAAAAATAATATTTTTTTCTAATGTGCTTTGTATGTTTTCTTTTTGTGCTGGACTGCGCTTGTTGACAAAAAATAATCATAAACAGGGTGGCCAGATATTTTTTTTCATTATCGGTAGCTTCTCAAAACGTTTATCGGTAGTTATCGGTAGGCCATCTTAAGAAGGTTTTCCCGATACTTGAAACCTTTGTGAGCGGGGGGGGGGGACTCTGCTTCAGAAAAATATTCTGTCCTTTAGTTATTCTGCTTTAAACTAGTCGAAATCAATATTTATAATTCTAATGCTAGTTCTGACTACACGGAAAACAAAACATTGGTATTGAACATTTTTCAAGATTACAAAAAATCTGTGATTCTCGGTAGGAAAAGTGAAAAATCGGTAGTTTTTAACCCTTCGTCTGTGAATCGGTAGGGATCCCGAAAATCGGTAGGACTACCGATAAATCGGTAGGTCTGGCCACCCTGATCATAAATGTCAATGCAATTAGGGATGTTCGACTATCGTCTAATATCAAATCAATGGATCACAGTATGCTGTCAGTTTTGATCTCACAACTACCACAGATAACAGACATCCAAGCTCGGTCAGAAACTTGTGTAAAGTTAAGTGGAAACGTCGCCGTTACGTAGCGCTAGCATCTCCTGATTTCCTCTATAAATTTTCCACTTTCGACCAATTTGACGCTAGTATCGATAAATTTTCGGATGAAAACTACCACTTGGCGCTACCAGCACTTAGTGTCTAATGTAAGTTGAGCAACGCCAGCGCCATCATGTTGTCAAAGAGGGTTTTTAAGTAGGGAAGTCACCGTTAGTGGCCCTTATGTCGAATAGGAATCTTTACACAAGTTTTTACAGAAATTTAGTTCGAGCCTCAACGTCTGTTCTCTGTGCAACTACTGATAGTACGGTGCCACTTCCCGAAAAAAATAACAACAAAAATACATTAAAAAACAATGAAACAATAAGACGAAAATTATTGTCTTAACAATAATTTATATTGTTACCCTCCCCTTGGCTAGTTTTTGCACCTTGTTGTTGGTGGGCGGGCTTAATTTCATGCTTTATAGTGGAGTGTTGGAGACGGTAGGTTTATGGTCGGCGTTGCTGGCTCATGCCGCGATAGAATGGCGTCATGGGCAGGCAATGGGGATTACTAAGCTTCCCCTCTCTGATAAACCACTGCATGAGAGAACCAAAGATCTAGTCTAGCAGTGATAGTATCACACTTGTTACTCCTTTAATTGAGAGACGCGTCGTAGTACGCTTACGTATAGGCACTGACGTTGGGTACGATACTGGCGGGTTTTGCCGCAAATCACTCTTATTTTATGAATTTCAGTTTATTTACGCGCTGCAAGGTACGTGAAAGAGCTCGGCACAATCGGTGTTGATGTTGGCTCGCTTGTAACTTTTTTTGTTGGGTTTTCGAAAGAAATTGATCGAAATTGTACCAAAAGTGCTTCTGAACGATTTTCGCAGTTGGGTGTGGTGAAATTCGTGAATTCGCGGTTTATGTTCAGTGAAAATTCCGTGTCACAAAATTGCTCACCGAGTTTCCTTTTGTGCCGTTCGACGACGACAGGTTTGCGAGAGAAAAATAAGCATCGGGAATTTGCTCCCGGATGTATTGATTTGGTGAGTACGTTCCAGTTGAAGATTGCTCTTATACATATCTCGATTGCATTTTCGAGGGGACGTTCGGAGAGCTTTGAGATTTAGTCGTTGTTGCATTTGCGGGCAGATGAGTTGGTCGCCGGTAAGGGCCAGTAAGTGCTGCCAGCAGATGAATCAAGAGGTATTCGAAACAAAATTGATAAGAAATGTCCATTCAAATCGATTTAATACAGTTGAAAAAATTTCAAAACTATATACGTGCCAGATTTGGAAATAATATTTTTTGAATCTGGAAGTGTGTTTGTGATACCATTATCCATTTGATAAAGGTAGAGTGAACATGCGGGGCTTATTGTAAGTAAAAGTGACCTCGGAGTGGTCGTGAATTACCAGGCATTCTGAAATGGGTCACTGGAGCTGCAATAGAGCTAACACCTTCTAACTCCCGGACTAAACCTGCTTTAATTTAAGGGTAATAAAAAGCAGTTTTCTTCCATAATAACACTGCCGGACAGTGGGGGTTAGATTGTACACACACACACAAATCACTCTTATTTTATTTATTTTTACGCAGACAGATTTATTTGGGTTTGCAAGGGAATTATACTATTGAAATATTTCAGAAAGTGCCCAACGGTGCTCCTTCTATTTGCGTGACAAGCTTTCATTGTTGTTTTCATTGAAGTATTACTCAGGAAACAATGTTAAACATCATTTTTGTAATGGTATTGTAACTAATCTTATATGTGCTTCATTTTGATTTGGGATAAGTGTTTGAACTATGGCTCGAGATTTCCACTGTGGTGTGCTTCTATTGTGACTTACCCATACATAATTTTGTGATGTGACATAGTGGAAGCGTGTGAACATAGTTGGAGCATATACCCTATATAATTTAAAAAATCAGCTTGGAAACTAACTTCAAAATGAAGCATTTTAGTCACATGAAGGTGTTACGTGGGTCGAACTAAGATATAATAAATAGGTATAGGCTTAAATCAAAAGTACTTGAAACACGTTTAATTTTAGATTACAAGCACAAGTGCAGGTACTTAATAGAGCATGGGTTATGATTGATTAGGTGAATTAGAGCTTTTAATAATTTATTAAATTAGACTAATGAGATATCATAATCATCAAATGAACTTAAATAAGAAACTTCAGAAAGTCTAATGACATTAAGTAGATTAACAAAAGAATTAGGATGCGGGGGGTCCGCTTAGGGAGGCAACTAACCTTTAAAGTTGTAGAATAAATCTTCTTATTTAGTCTTGAACTTTAAAAAGAAAACGCAGGCAGACCAATAGCATTTAGCAGATTAACAAGGAGAGGAATAGTAGTTTAGGAAATAAGTAAAAGTAGAGGTATGTGACAATTAATAGCTTTTAAACTTTTGGAGGTATTGTACTCCCCTGAGTTTTTTGTACTCGATTACTATATAATTCTCTCAATACTTATGGTTTAGATTTCAGTGATTTTTTATTACATTTTGAAGAGGTTATGTCTACAGTCATGTACAAAAACTGAACACACTAATCCAGGCCTTTGTTGATTGGTAATTTTTGGACTACCAAAACCTAGTTAAAAAACTATTTTTATTCATAAGTTTTTATTTATACATTAAAATATCATAATAGCTAGCCTAATAATGGATAACTAAACAGCGTATCGAAGAAATTACATAAAATTATGTGTTTCCGTTAATTTAGAGTCCGTTTTCGGCAGCACATGTCTTTAGTTTCCGGAATATGAATCAGAACTGTTCGGTAAAACACAGCAAAAAAAAATGTAATATCGATCAACGGTATTCAAGCTGATGTATGAAATAAGTAAGTAATAGCAAAAAAATAGATGCATTATTATATCTCTGGATGTGATTTTGTTCGCAAAATCGATGTATTACGTACAACGTAATATTACACAACAAGCGGAATGACCTCTGTGCAGCTGTTTGGATGTAATATTCAATAACTGTTTATTTTTTCTATAAAGCTAAAAAATCAGTGAAGTTTTCAAAAAAATCATACATTTGTTCCGAACATGTACAAATTTTATTCAGTTAATGTCTTTTAATGACAAAAATTTAATTTGTCAATTTGATTGATTTCTCACTTTTAACGGTCATTTGAATATTCTACCGACTTGTTAAGCTGTTCAAAAACCCAGTGAAATTCTACCTACATCGGTGATCTGTATTCACTGTGAAGTGGAAATTATTCGAAAATTCAGCTTAGATCTGCTCAAAAACTAAAACAAATTCTAGTTAATAATAATGGCGCAAATTTCTGACCTTCTAATATTTGTTTTATTTTTCAGATTCTCAAATATGCGCAGTGATCATATTACTTAAAAACTTGTTGCCTCCTTCTAAAGTGACGAAGGATTTCAAACCAACGGCATTGTTCGGACAGGAAGATATAGTTGTATTCGTGGAAACAGAAGAGGATATCCCACACGAGATCCCACATAAGGTGGACGAAATCAACTCAAAGTATGCAGAGTTGGGATTCACACCTGTACCACGACTTGTCTTCGTTGGATCGTCTGCTGCAACATTGAAAGGGAAATACTACGTTGTATTTAAAGATCTGGCGTATTAATTGGACTCAGTTGCGAGAGCTATAGACGTACTTGTCAAAACGACGCTAGTGTTCGGTGCTGAATTTTCACGAATTACACGCCTCGTATGGAATTTCATCTGTACCTATATTTACGAAATTCCAGATCTAGCAAACTATGCACTGGTTTTGAAACTGGTCGCTGAGCTGCACGAAGTTAATTAGCTTCATCATGTTCAGCTGCATGATTAACGGTTGCGAATCCATTGCTGAATCGTCAAGTGCCTACATAGATCACCTAACAAATCATCACAAGATTCCACGAGACTACCGATATCAATGTAGTTATCGAGGGTGTATTCAAATAGCATCTAATTGGACCACTTTCAAACGCCACATATACACGCATGGTAAACGTTTAAAAAGTTGCCAGCAACATATCAGAGCACCAAGGATTGACAACACTCATGCTGAGATCGACAACATGCATGTTGAGATTTCTGTGGAGGGAACATCAACTAATTCTACGAACCCATCGATTTTCCAGTCCACCACTACAAGCTTCAAAGAAAATTTATTAGAAATAGATGATCAGTCAGTAAATTTAACGCTTTATCTTCACAGTAAAACTAACTTGACAAGAGAAAATGTTGTGGATATTCAAAAAAACATTGGTAAATTGAATTCTCAGACAGTAAGCAAAATAAGAAACCTTCCTTTAAATATCGATGATCCACAAACGGAATACGAGCTAAATACCTACCTGAATAAATTAGAAAGCGGATTCGATTTTATCAATACAGACTATAAAGTTTTCAAATACCTAGAAGAGAAAAAACTATTTGAAATGCCTTCTTTAGTTAGAATTGATGAAGCATCAACACTAGAGTCTGAATGCCGACTTCAAATTGAGGATTTAAGTATCGAAACTAGTAAAAGTTATGTAGTAATTAGCTCTATTGAGTTTCAAATTCAAACTTTTTTTCAAACTGACAATATTCTAAGAGATACGATCAAGAATACTTTTGATTTACAACAATCTAGTTCAATTAAAAACATCGTTAACGGAAAAGTTAGGCAGGAAATTATTGGCAAGTACCATTCAAATACAGTAATACCAACAATCAATACGAAACTAACGATTTTAAATTGGCTCACCACTTTAGTAGCCTATTGGTCCCAAGCAAACGATTAACGTACCCTATTCTAGTTGAAATTCTATTACTACACTATGTTTGTTTTGATTCGCTATGAAAGTTTGACAGATAACATCAGGGGTGTGTGGATTCATGCAGAACATGCAGGGGTGAGTGAAATAGCTTGGGACTGCTTGGGACCGTTGTTCTGGTACTGAGTGAGCCAAAAATAATAATGATTTTCTTCGGGACCCAGTGGTCTTAGAGTTACCTCTATGATTGAAGCCAGGCCTGCTGGGGTGAGAGGTAATCACGCTTACCACTACACCACCGGCACCGCTCTATTGATTAATTGATCTTAGTTGGTTAATTAATGGCACCAAGAATTGTGCAAAATCTTGCGATGCACTGAATTATTATTTTGCACGTAAATCGAATCAAAAATAAAAGTCATGTGAAGCAAGGGTTGCAAGATAATTTAAATTCTCCGCCCATCTGAGTATTCCTAGTTAGAACCAAATCGAAATGAATACACGGACACCCCTAACGATAACACTCACAGTCTTTTCAAATCTATAACCAGAACGCAGCCAATCATTATTCTAATTAGACATCCAGCTGACGTTCGACTAACCGGCAGAACAGTTAGTGAGAAGCTTGTGCTCATCGTGCACAGACATTGGATTTCTGTTGTTCAGGTGCATATTACAAATAATGCAGAATTTTTATTTCTAAAAATACAGTTTAAAAGTATCTCCTTTCCATTGCAGATCGATAAATCGTGCAGTTGAATATGTTGGCTCTACGCAGCGCTGTTTTGGGAACTGCCAGGTAAGAAAGATGTCGACTTTCCTCCAATATGCTGCCTGATAAACCATTATCGCCGAATGTTATGTAAACGGTTTGAGCGATTATAAATACCCATCAGTTGCGTCTATATGTACCATTCGGGGATTGATTAAAATGTTTATTTACTTTTACTTTGTAGAAATGTTCCGGCCGTGTTGGGATGCCGCAGCAAGCACACCCTGCCGGATTTGCCGTACGACTTTGGCGCTTTGGAGCCGGTCATCTGCCGTGAAATCATGGAGGTTAGACTTTGGTTGACGACACAAAGCTTTTCAAATTGATTCTATTAAAGGGGGCTATTGTTTCTTCAAGGTTCACCACCAAAAACATCACAATGCCTACGTCACGAACTTGAACGCCGCTGAAGATCAACTGAAGGAGGCCGTGGCCAAGAATGATACTTCGAAGATTATCCAGCTGGGCGGTGCGATCAAGTTCAACGGCGGTGGTCACATTAATCATTCGATCTTCTGGAAGAATCTTTCACCGGAACGCTCGGATCCGTCGGCTGAGCTGAAGAAGCTGCTGGATCGGGACTTGCAAGGTTTGGAAAACTTCAAGAAGGAAATGAAGGCCGCTGCCGTTGCAGTCCAAGGTTCCGGTTGGGCTTGGTTGGGTTATAATAAGAAGACGAAATCTCTGCAGGTTGCTGCCTGTCCAAACCAAGACCCACTGGAAGCCACTACTGGTAAGAAAGATTTGAATGTCGCTTGGAAACCTATTATAGGTAATGTGATTTTTTTTTTAATATTTATAGGCTTGGTTCCACTTTTCGGAATCGACGTTTGGGAACATGCTTACTACTTGCAGTACAAGAACCTGCGACCAAACTACGTCGATGCCATTTGGGATGTCGTCAACTGGAAGGATGTCTCCGAGCGCCTGGCGAAGGCACAATAAAACCGAAAAACGTGTGCTTAAATATGTGCTTGTAACGATTAGGTAGGGGCCCTCAAAATTTACATTGTACACACAAAAAAAGATGTAACTCAAAAGTAAAAAAAAAAAACATTAAATTTGGGCCACACATAAGGGTAGTTCATTTATTATCATATAATACGGGATAACATGAAAATTTATCGAGTAATTTGATGCAAATTATCCATTAATCACAAACAAAATTTAAAGCTTTACAGCTTATTCCTTGGATAAAATGCCCAACTCCACCAAACACTTTTTGGCCGCCTCCAGCCGAGCAATTTTTTTCACGTTGCTTCCCTTGTCAGCCGTGTAGTCAACTCCGTCAACCGACACCTTAAACACAAAGTTCTTGGCATGGACCGGTCCTTCATCAACTACTGCTTCGTACTTGGGAGCTTCCAGCTTGCGCTTGCTGCAATATTCTTCCAGAATCGAAACTGGATTTTTGCCCTCGGTGACTAGCTTGATCGATGCCATCTGTAGCTTTTGGCCGCCTTCCGATTTTACGCTGACCGGAACCTTCAGCTCCTTCTGCCCAACATGTAGTCCCCGTTTGTTCATTTTGATATCTGGAAACGATGGCTCCAATTCACCATTTTCGCATCGACCGAGACCCTGGCCCGGATTCCAACCCATCTTCTGCATCAGGGTCATTCCACGGTGACCCGCGTAAGGAGCCGGTCGCTGCAGCGAATCACGTTTGACCCATGGTTGATATCCGCGGTTCTTCCTCTTGCCGCTGTTAGATTCATTGTTAGCATATGAAAATGGGACGTGCGAGCTCGTGTCCGATGAGATAATGGGATTGTACTGAAAGTTTAATGCAGATTGCAACTGCGATTCGTATTCGTAGGAGTTTGACGGATTATTATTGTTGGCCGAGTAGGATCTACTGGCGGAATAGTTGTAGTTGAAGTTCGACGAATTATTTCCCCCGCTGGTAGATGAATTGTACATGTAGTATGGGAGATTCGAAGAACCAGATCCGGAGTTATTGTAATTAGTATTATTGGAACGACCCGAGTTCATGTTGTATTGAGTGTAGTCGTTTCTCGATCCGGATGTTGGAGACACTCTGGCAGTCGGCTTCATTTACTGCTTTTCGCTAGGAAATGAAATAGCTATAACGCAATGGTAAACTACTAGTAACTGTTGTTTCCTGGACCTTACCTGCAATTTTATCAGATCAAGTAAGATTAAATTTGTTTATCGGGTTTTGATTTGTTAAATCGATACACGGTAGATGCTATCAACAGCTAGCACCAGCTATACACTTCAAAATAACAATAATGCAAAAAATACATTTTTTAGGACTTTCTTATTGGAAAATGCTGTCAGTTGGTGTTTAAAAAGTACGCTTATTCGAAACATATTACTTTTTGAAAGAATTTATCCTTTTCATTTAACAATACCGGAGAACTTTGAAATTTGGGCGTAATTGCTTTTGTAAACAAACACGTCAATCGCCGATTTCTCGTGAGTAAAAGAACAATCTTGCAAACAAACTACACCAAATGATAGAGAAACCATTTCTCTACCTGTTTGTGTTGTTAATTTTTTATTCTGAGCTTTAATTCGCGAGAAATCGGCAAATTATGTGTTTGTTTACAAAAGCAATTACGCTGGAATTAGGGCATACAAAAAATCTAGATAGAGCTGGAATTAGGGCGTAACAGCTTTTGTAAGCAATGACTTCTCTCGATGATTTCTCGGAAGCCAAATCGACATCACCATCGAGTAGAGGAAGACTTCTCCTCCCCGATGGATATGTTGGTTTGTGTAGGCGTGCCTTGAATTCTGAGAAATCAACGAGAGAAATCATTGTTTACAAAGGCTGTTACGCCCTAATTCCAGCTCTATCTAGAATTTTCAGCTTTATAAAAGCATTGTCAAAACTCGTAAAAAACTACAGTGGAGGGCTAGGTGGAGGGCGTATTTTAAAAACCATGCAGGTTGCCATTCTTTAATGCACGGGTCACAGTGTGGAGCTCAGTGTGGAAGCTGGAATAAAAATAGTCCATTTTACGAAATACCAGGAGCCAGTTTGTCATACAGAATATTCATGATATCTAGGATGATATTGACAGTCGTTAGTTTACTGGCTCTTGCCAAATGTCATAAATGAATTTGAAAATCAGGTGATCAGAAACCAATGAGGTACAGAGAGAGGTGGCGCAGATCGTGAAATAGGGTTGTATTAGTAAACCAAAAAATCAACGTAAACGCAAGTAGTGACGTCACTACTTGCGTGTACTTGCGTGTATCGTACAGTGGTTGTGTGAGTGATTGCTTCACCTCGGTAATCCAGCTCATTGATCAGAAACGTCTGGTCTCGTAATGCTTCATGATCTTCATTATAATCATAGCAAACATTGCATTATCTACTGTCACGAATCACTGCCAGTTGAAAAGAATTTTTCTATCGCTTACCGAGTCGCTTATTACAATGTTGAATTTTTTGAAAGCTGTAAAATATTCAAGGTAAATCTCGCAATACTTTTAGGGAACATGCATAAATGACGTAGCATTTGAGGGAGGATTTATTAGGCTTATTAGCTGCAAACGCTAAGGGGGAGAGGTTAGTTTAAAATTGGCCACACATCTGCTACGTCATTTAATGGATTTCTCCTTGGCTATGTGACCTGTTCCATGATCAGTTCTTTCAACCATAATAGAATCTTTGGTCAAAACCTTCGATCGAAGCACACCCTCCCGGAGCTTCCGTATGAGTACTCCGCCCTGGAGCCGACGATATGTCGTGAGATTATGGAACTTCATCACCAGAAACATCACGCTGGCTACGTAGATGCTCTCAATGGCGCCGAGGAGCAGCTGAAAGATGCTCTCGCCAGTGGGGACACATTGAAGGTTATTCAGCTGGGCCGAAACTTACGGTTCAACGGTGGAGGTCACATCAATCATTCCTTATATTGGGAAAATCTTTCACCGAACTGTACGACACCGTCCAAGGCCTTGGAGAGTGGTCTGAAGCAAAATTTCTATAACAAAGACGATTTTAAGCAGCTGATGCGGGAGGCGGCGTTGGCCGTGCAGGGCTCCGGTTGGGTTTGGCTCGGATGGAACAAACAAACGAAAACGATGAAAGTGGTCGCTTGCGGCAATCAGGATTCACTCGAAGCGACTACTGGTAAGCGTTTGGTGCGGAAGTTCCCATTATGGAGCATTTTTGAACGTTTTTAATTCTTTTGAAAGGTTTATTACCAATGCTGGGCATTGACGTTTGGGAGCATGCTTACTACATCCAGTACAAGAATGATCGTGCCAAATACTTCGATGCTCTGTGGGAGATTATCAACTGGAAGGAAGTTTCCAAGCGATACGAGAAAGTTCGGTGCGTCATTGAGAAGTAGATGGTATGTTACTGAGAGTCAGGGAGGGCATTTTAAATTTTTATTATGAAAATATAAAAATAGTGGTTGACATCATTTGAAAAAGTTGCGTCTATTGTTATTTGAATGTACCAATACGAGTTCCTATTAACTGATTGAAGCCGCTTCTGTGCTCACCTACATTGCGTTTCTCTTATAATTTATACTGGAAGCTTAACTTCTAGCGTGACTACCACAATCAGAATAATAGATCAATTTTTTTTGAATGGCATATTTTGGTTATTTATTTCTCCTGATTCTAAAAGAGAAAATGGGACATTTATGTAAGGATAATCGTGGCCCTTATTACCGGCCCTTCACGGTGAAGTGGCAACTTATCACTCACGGTGAAGTGAATCCTGTTTCATTTACACGGCAATCACTTCACCGTGAGTGATAAGTGGTTAGTTCCCTTCGTTTTCACCGTGATGTGACACTCGTAATAAGGGCCCCTATGTCGGGTTAGTACCCAAATTCGTCTGATGCATTAGGTTGCCAAAAACTGAGTAAACGAGAAATATCACACTGAGTAAAAGCCACTCAGTCGGCCAAATCCGGGACTATGCCAGCCAGCGTTGCCAGATTGTTTTCATGAATATCGGTATCAAATGATTAAAAAATCGGTATGTATCGGTATTCCCTATTTCAATTAATTTTAATTTTTTCAAACTTTTGGACTAAAGTCAAAAGATGTAATTTCCATGTAAGTCGGAAGAAACATCTGGGAAATATTTGAATAATTCTCTTAATGTTACCGACCAAACTTTCTAGAGGAAGAATAAAGAAGATCTTGTAGAGGAATTTCGAAGGAAGTTCTAAAAAATGTCTAAAAAACATCCGATGGGGATCTACCAAGAAATTTTTTTAGAAAAACATTTTAAGAAACTGTGAAAAAAATCCAGAAGCCAGAAATGTTTGGAAATCGAAGGCCAATCCCGGAGTAGTCATTTCCAGGGGAAGTTACACACAAAAAATTATCGTTAATGAAATTAAAAAAACCATGGGTAAAATTAAAAGTTTGCATTGGTTCTTTTTGGTAGAAAGTCGTTAGCATTCATAACAAAAGTCAGCCTATTGTCAGTTCAAAAGTTACATGCCCCCTACTTTTAAAAGTAGAAACTTTCAAAATAAATTGTAGAACTGTCAAATCAAAAGCTTGACAGTGTTAAATTTAAAAGTGTATTATTTTTTATTCAAACTAAACTTTCAACATAAAAGCTTTGTATACTTATATTGACATATGTGCCACTTTGATTTAAATATATAAAATATGTTTAATTTAAATAAAAGCATTTTCAACATCAAAATATCATTTGTCATCTTTTTTATTGTATACTGAATATCAAAACTTTTAAATAACTGTTTTTATTTTTCAATGTAAAATATTGTTAACATTACCTAACATAATGATATGTATCCATATCGACGCACCCATTTGTCTTTCAAATTAAGCTGCAAACCCAACATACTGACAGATGCCTCAAACTGACCATTTCCCTGCTGCTGTTGTTTCCTGCGGGACTCCTCCATTACGTAGATAGCAGCAGTGTTTGAGAAATGTACAGTTGCTGTTGTTTATGCTGTTCAAACGCAGGGGGACAAATCAAAGTCCATGACGGTGAGTTCATCCAAACATCCACCAACAGCAACTGGTGCGGACTACGTAGACCACGATCCTTCGCATCCACGCTGTGACTTGACGACCGGCTTGGTCAGTATAAGTAACGAGCATTCCAGTTTGCTCAATATGACTTGGATAGCAGAACCAATCCGGATTAACGTTCCATTAGTGGTACTTACGGAAGCGATAAAACTAGGGTGAAAAAGTAACCTGAAATTGTGCAGAAAAATCATGTAATAAATCAATTTTTTTGGATCCAACAAAACTCAATAAAATTTTAATAACCTTTACAGGAACAATAACATTTTTTTCTAAATGTTCACGCAAACCTTGAAAATGGTAGCAGCAATGCTAGATTTCAGATAGTATATATATTTTATTTTGCGAAATTTTGCCACTTCTAATTTCCACTAGCGGTCAGAGTGACAAAGGCGGGAAATGCAAATGAGGGTTCAGGGCTGCCAGTAAAAGTTGATATGAACACATATTATTGAAAGTTGAACAATTTTTCTTTCAAATAATGAACTTTTAAAATTACAAGCCAAAATTAAAAGAAGTTCTTTTAAACTCATAGCGTGACTTTCATTTTGAATATATTCGTAGTTAAAACTACGAATTATGAGAAACTTTCAATTTGAAAATACATTATTTTTATTGATACAGTTTTTATATTTTGTGTGTAGGAGAAGATCGAAAAAACCTTCCAATAAGTCGGAAAAAACCTACGGAGAGTGATATATGGAGAAACTTTCAGAGGAAGACAGACGAAAAAAAACTTCTGGGAGAACACACGATAGACACATCCGGTAGAACTTTAATTGAACTTCTTGGAGAAGACGGAAGAAACTTCCAGGAGACACTGGGAGAAACTTCCAGGAGACACTGGGAGAAACTTCCTAAGGTAGATTGGAAGAAAATTGTGGAAAGTCGGACGCCAGAGGGCTTATGGAACAGTTGAAAGATACTTCAAGGAGAAGATGGGAAATATCTGGAAGAAATAGATTTCTCGAGGATGTTAGCACAATATTCCCTGAAGTTTCTGTCATGCTCTATTGATTCAGCATTTTGCTGATATTCATAAAACATCCCTGAAAGTTCCACAATGTTCCTGAAGTTTTCGGAACATTCCGGAATTGCACTTCGGAATATCCCATAATTCTTCGGAACTCCTTGAAAGTTCTTGCAATTTTTCTTAAGTTACCCGAATAGAAATTTACATTAGCCCAACGTTTGATTTTGATGTCTACATCAGCATCGAAATCAAATGTATGCCTGATGTCAAACATTAGAAAACATTATGATTTAGTTGTATTTAAGCAACGTAACATAGTGTATACATCAGAAATTTTGGAACAAAATTTTGCCATTCTAATGTCGGTCTGACGTCAAAAATTTCAATCTCTTGACATTAGAACCAAACGTTTTAAGGATGTTTTCTGATGTACATTACGTTAGAACTAAACGTTGTTCGGATGTTTTTATATGTAAACGTTTTCTGATGTTTTCTAATGTAGATGTTTCCCGATGTTAGAACTAAACGTTTTCGGATGTTCTCGGATGTAAAAAACGTTACAACTAAACGTTGTTTAAATGTTTTTATATGTAAATGTTTTCTGATGTTTTTTAATGTAGAAGTTTCCTGATGTTAGAACCAAACGTTTTTGGATGTTTTCGGATGTAAAAAACGTTAGAACTAAACGTTGTTCGGATGTTTTTATATGTAAATGTATTCTAATGTTTTCTTATGTAGATGTTTCCCGATGCTAGAACCAAACGTTTTTTGGATGTTTTCGGATGTACACAACGTTAGCACTAAACATTGTTCGGATGTTTTCAATTGTACTTCCTGTTTGTTGTTCTCTGATGTTTTCAGATGTACAAAACGTGCCGATAAAAAAACAAAGAACTTCCTTTAAAATGTTCTAAAAAATTTCTAATGTTCATGTAACTTCCCTTACGTTTCCAAAATTTTCATGAACCTCTCGGATCTTAGTGGAAGTTTTCGGAAATTCCCGGAACTCATTGAAAGGTTCAGAAATTTCCTTGAATGGAGCTATCCTGAAAACCATTAAAATTCTTTGAAGTTCTTTGGGCTTGTGAAGTTTCCAAAATATTTCAGTTTGCTTAAGTTCATTGGAGTTCTCTGGGCTTTCTTCAGATTCCCGGGTTCTCGTATTTGAACAGAAGTTAATGAAACTGTCTTTAATTTATCGGAACCTACTTAAAAGTCCGAACTATTTTGAAGTTTCAGAACTTCTGAAAAGTATCTGTCGTTTTCCTGAATATAATGGAACCACAACAAAACTCTGGAAGCTTTTCTAAAGTTCCAGAAAAATTGAAAAAAACTGACGTGAGGAGACGGAAGAACCGAACGTAGCCAGAAGAAGCGTCCAAGGGAAGTCAAAATAGTTTTTCGGAAGGAATTGGAAAATCACTTACATGGTCTTACAGGGTAAGGTTGATGGAAATTCCTAGGGAAAGTTGGTAGAAACTTCTAAGGGAAGATTAAAAAAAAATCAGGAAGTTCAAAAATTAACGTTTTGATGGTCCTATGTTTCCACTGAATAAAAGTATTTACCGATTTTCAAAAATTACTGGGATGAGTCATCAGCTGTTTTTCGTCTCCTTGGTAACCAAAAACGGAGAGGAAATGGAAGCATTAGTCGAAAGAGTATCAAGCACTCAAGCCTCATAAAAATTTAATTTTCAAAAAGATAAAAGTCTCTCGCAGTAGTTTCCTCTGACAATTTAGCACGAGGCAGTAATTATTTTGATTATTAATAAAAAATCGGTATAAATCGGTATTATAACTCAAAAATCGGTATTCTGAGAAACCTTATCTGTATATCGGTATCAAGTTTAAAAATCGGTATAAATACCGATAAATCGGTATATCTGGCAACGCTGATGCCAGCCGTGTAGGAGCAAACGCTCTAAGAAATGGCGAAATTAAACACCGGCCAAAATGTATTAAGGTAAGTAGAAATTGCATACTGAGACGGTTTTCAGTCGTCTTCAGCTCCAGTTAAATGAATCTGGAGCAGGTAATTACCTTTTTTTTTTTTATCAAAACAAATAAAAAAACCAATCTTTCCGGCTGAAAATATCACAGAGTGGTTTTGACTCATTCTGCGCGAGAACGTCGTTTACTCAAAAGTGAGTAAAAGTGCGCCTACTCAGTTTTGAGAAGCCACCCTAATAAAAAATAACCATAAACGAACGATAACCCAAATCATTGAACTATTCCACAAATGGTTTGGATGATACCCAGAACACGTCGTTAAGCAAATTAACCATACAATTTTTATTAGGGCACCCTAATAAAAATAACCATAAAAGAGAGTTTAACGACGTGTTCGGTGTATCATCCAAACCATTTGTGGGATAGTTTTCCCATCCGGTATACAGTTCGCTTAAAGTATTTGTTTATCAGGGCATACTTCCCGCTGAAATGAGCATGTTCAACTCAATTTTGAGTTGATGTGAGTTACCGTGTATACGATTCATGTAATTTATTACTACATTTTTAGGATATTACAATCAGCGTGTACGTTTTGCTGTCTCTCCAGGGTGGCCAGACCTACCGATTTATCGGTAGTCCTACCGATTTATCGGTAGTCCTACCGATTTTCGGGATCCCTACCGATTCACAGACGAAGGGTTAAAAACTACCGATTTTTCACTTTTCCTACCGAGAATCACAGATTTTTTGTAATCTTGAAAAATGTTCAATACCAATGTTTTGTTTTCCGTGTAGTCAGAACTAGCATTAGAATTATAAATATTGATTTCGACTAGTTTAAAGCAGAATAACTAAAGGACAGAATATTTTTCTGAAGCAGAGTCCCCCCCCCCCTCCGCTCACAAAGGTTTCAAGTATCGGGAAAACCTTCTTAAGATGGCCTACCGATAACTACCGATAAACGTTTTGAGAAGCTACCGATAATGAAAAAAAATATCTGGCCACCCTGTGTCTCTCTAATTTGGACTAAAAAAATATAAACATAAACATCACTGTTACGTTACAGCTGTTACAGTAGGATAGGTATTTTCAAAATCTATTAGCAAATGTAGAGAATAAAAAGATTAAATTATTTGTGAGGAAAATAACGGCAGTGCAAAACGCGTACATAACATTAGCCATAAGCATTATGGAACTGAGTTTGGGAACTGATCTGTCCGAGCTTTGTCGCGTCTGCACACAGGACGTCGCCTTCTCATCATCGGAGAACATCTATGTACAGGCAAGCCCAGACTGCCTCAGTATTTACACGAAGCTCAATGCAATCTGTTCTCAGATCTTTGCTGCCGAATATGACCAAAAGTCACAGCCAGTAGAATCGCATAGAATGCCACAAACCGTGTGCTCTGATTGCAGGTCAAAAATTGAATCAGCATACAGGCTACACCAGACATGCATTGAAAGCCATCGGAAGCTGTGGGAAATGCTGACGGGTTGCCCAGCACCCTCGACAGTAAAACAGGAAAATGAAGCTATGGTACCAATAGAAGCCACACAGCCACAACAACAGTTCGCAGAAGTGTTCGTGGAAACCCTTGATCCGGAAAAGGAAGTTGCTTCCAAAGCCCAAGTGGAAGACGAAAGTACCGATAGTAAGACAGCTGCGGGGAAGTCTCGGAAGCCTAGGCAATATCGCTGTGAACGATGTTCTGCCACGATGAACCGTCCCTTTGCCGTAAAGAAGCATATGAAGCTGAAACACCAGGATGAGATTTTTTACTGCTCCAGCGGTCGTTGCGATGAAGTATTCTTTACCGAGGAAAAATTGGAGGAACATAAACTTATACACTCGACAGGACTACGCCACGCGTGTCACATTTGCCAAAAACGATGCAAGTCGCTTTACTATCTGCGGGAACATATGCACAACCACACTGGTGAGACTCCGTATCTATGTCCAGAATGTGGCAAAGCATTTTCAAACAAGCCCAGCCTGCGACAGCACCTTGTCCGTCACTCCGATGAAAAAGCTTTCGTTTGTTGTCAGTGTCCGTCCAAGTTTCACACGAAGGGTGCTTTAAAGGTTCACATGCTGACGCACACCAAGGAAAAGAACTTCCCCTGTGAGACTTGTGGAGCTAGATTCAATTTGAAACACGCGCTCTTCTCCCATATTATGGTTCACACGAGTTAGTAGGAATATTTCACTCGCAATATAGCGAAAAATATTAACTTTTTGTATCTCATTTTTTTAGATGAACGACCACATGGTTGCAACATCTGCGATATGAAGTAAGCAGATCATTTAAAATATCAAGCCTTGCAACTAATCCAATATCCCACCACATTTTCGTAGATTTAGAACATCGGACCACTTGAAACGGCACATACGTACCCACACGGGAGAAAAACCCTACAAATGTTCCACCTGCGATCGTTCGTTCGCCCAAAGCAACGACCTGGTCAAGCACAGTAAAACCCACTTTGGCGAGAATCCCTACCAGTGTGATAGGTGCGAAGCGTCATTCCGTTTGATAACGGACCTACGGAATCACTATAAAGTACATTTCCAACCGGGTGATAACGAGGAATCTGATACCGTACAGAACCTGGCTGCCCGGCACTTGGAAAAACAGGACAGCAGCGATGCGCCTGATGTGATACAGTTCACTATCGTCAGCACGCTCAACAGACGGGCCGAGCAGGAGAAGAAACGTGGCAAGCTGAAAGCCAAACCGCAATCGGATGCCCAGAGGGATGTCGAGATGGTTCAGACAATTTTGGCAGATCTTTCGGAGTTTCCCTTGGAAATGGACAATAGAAACTGATCTGACTGGGATTTTCCTGTGATGGTGTATTTTCTTTCGGAAAGATTGTCATTTAATCTCATATGAAGTGGGTCTCTCTTAGCACCAGTGCAGAATTTAAGATCCGCGGGATTCTGGGGCAGCTATTATGTGATTTCGAAGTTTGAATTTCAAATGCGCGATCGTATTATTCCTGCTACGAAATAAAATTTGTATTAAAAAAAAAAGAAGAAAATCAAAATCTACATTTAGCGGCGCCGGTGGTGTAGTGGTAAGCGTGATTACCTCTCACCCCAGCAGGCCTGGGTTCAATCCCAGTCGGCGCAGCCGGGATGTTCTGAGGCATAACATCTCTGATCACGCCTTCCTTCGGATGGGAAGTAAAGCCGTTGGTCCCCGGTTCATGAGTTGATGGGTCGATAGGTAGGGTCCAGGTGTGGGAGCTGCCTTCCTGGCGTCGGTATCATTGGTGCTCAGCACGGAAAACAAGATCGACGGAAAACATATCAAGGAAAAAAATCTACATTTTGCTACAAAAAATAAAATAAATAGGTACTGTGATCCGAGGGGCAAATTGATCATTCAACGCCCCAGAAACACCAATGTTACCTGCTGAGCAGTTGATTTAGCATGATCATTAGACATTAGCGCATTGAACCATTGATAACTTTCGGTCCTTGCATTTAATCAAAAAGTGGTCTTCGGCAAAGTTGTAGCTGGGAAAATTTCCTACAAGTACAGTTGAAAGCTTTTGAAGCAGACCATAGTAATTCCCATACAAACTTCAAATGGTTTGTGCCATCTCAGTTTCTGACCAAATGGGTTCAAATTTTGAGAGGTTAGTCAGGATCCGATTTGAAATCGAAGTATTGTGGAGCGAAAAAGTCAAATTTTGCACCAGTCTAGTGAGCATGCATAAGGGCGTATACGCGATGATCGATTCTCTTGATCGATTTTCTCTTTGTATTGCTACAGCTAAGTGAAATAATTTTCTAGAATTTGTTCAATGCAGAGTTTTTTTTTTCCCTTGTCGGGTATTTTCATCACCGCGACCATTTTTCTGATCTATTGTGATATATTCCCCATTTTTTTTTCTTTAGCTATATCAAGATGCCGTATCACTATTATTAGGAGTGATCGCCATCGTTTGACTAATAGCATTATCCCAGCACGGCATTATACTTCGAATAAAGTGCAACGCCGTACTAGGAGTTGTTCTCCAAATGTCAAAGGGTTCTATCAGCCCCTTGTCGAAGAACTTACGCCTTTTATTGAAAATTGCCGGACAGTGGCATAGCAAATGTTCCGAGTCTTCCTTTTCTATGCCACAGAAGCGACATACATCATCTTGAAGTTTTCCAATCAGCTTCAAGTGATAACGGCTCGGACAATGACCTATTATAAGACCTGCATATATACTAAGATCTTTCTTAGAAAGTTCCAGGATTTTGTGGGTCACAGAAATGTTTGGATTAATAAATCGCTTCGACTGCCTAGCAATGGAAGTGTTCTTCCAGTTTTCCTCCACTTTTGAAGATTCCCACGCTTTTAGCTCCATTCTAAGAGATGCAGCCGATAAGCCACAAAAGGGCTCTGGCCCTATGAACTTATGAGAAGATCCGAGTCTTGCTAGTGCATCAGCTCTTTCATTTCCCTCAATCCCGCAATGACCAGGAACCCAATATAAGTTGACTTGATTATGACAAGACAATTTTTGAAGTGATTGAACACACTCCCAGACAAGTTTTGATGTACATGTCGCCGACTTTAAAGCATTTAGAGCAGCTTGACTGTCGGACATGACGCATATATTTGAACTCTTAAGGCCCACGCACATTAGATCCGGATCGGACGCGTTGCGGCAAAGTGACAGCTAAATCTATTGTCTAACTGTCAAATTTACGTCAACGCAACGCAAACGGATCTAATGTGGGTGGCCCTTTATAGTTTCTACGCAAACATATAACGGAACATTCTAAAATTGCTTGGATTTCAGCTTGGAACACAGTTGGCCATCTGCCCATAGGAACCGATATTTCTATCCCTGGACCAGTTACTCCTGCTCCCACTTGATTGTTCAATCTTGAACCATCTGTATAAAAAACAATCGATCCTGGACGAAGAACCGGGCCACCAAATTGCCATGAATTACGCCCAGGGTCAACTACTCGAAAAAGTCGATTGAAGTTGTATCTTTTCTCCATCCAGTCTTCGTTGTTCCTTACTAGAGAGTTGATACTAACAGTTTTTAGAATCGTAAGATGTCCTCTAAGGTCTCCTTCAAAGAGTTTCACTGACCTTGTAATCCTTAGAGCACACTTTTCGGCTTCTAATTGTACAAATTGATGCAATGGTAGCATATAAAGCAAAGCATCCAATGCCTTTGATGGTGTACTTCTCATTGCACCTGTTATTGAGAGAGTTGCTAACCTTTGGAGTTTTTCTAACTTTCTCTGAACAACACTCTCTTTTGTTTTTGTCTACCAGACCAATGCACCATAAGTAATCCTGGGTTTCACAATTGCCGAGTAAATCCAATGGATCATTTTCGGTTTCAGTCCCCACTGTTAACCGAATGTTCTTTTGCATATCCATAGAGCATTAGTAGCTTTGTTTATTGCCTGCTCTAGGTGCATATTCCAATTAAGTTTACTATCGAGGATTACTCCAAGATATTTGACAGCATTAGAAAGTTCCAAAAGTGTGCCTTTCAATCTTATGTTGTCTAATGAAAATTTCTTCCTTCGGGTAAATGGCACGATAGTAGTTTTAGAAGGATTTATGTTTAATCCTTCCCTATCACACCACGATGAGACAAAATTTAAAGCAATTTGCATTCTGTTAGCGATAATACAATCATATTTGCCACGTACAATTATGACTATATCATCTGCGAAGCCAATTATTTCGAAGCCATGGGCTATTAAATTTTTGAGAAGATCATCAACTATTAAAGACCACAATAGAGGTGATAACACGCCTCCTTGCGGGCATCCTTTGGTTTGCTGATATTTCTCTTTTTGATAACATTTCATTGATCCAATTTACAATGCTTTGATCGAAACCACGTTTCATCATAGCTGTAGTCATTGAATCGTGGGATGAATTATCGAATGCACCTTCAATGTCAAGGAATGCAGCAAGTGAAATTTCTTTTGCTTCAAAAGATCTTTCTAGTTTTGTAACAACCGTATGGAGTGCTGTTACTGATGACTTACCTTCCTGGTATGCAAATTGATATTTGCTCAGAGGATTTGTGACTAAATATGATGACTTTATGTGTTCATCTATTATTTTTTCCATTATTTTTAGCAAAATAGACGATAAGCTTATTGGCCTGAAGGATTTTCGTGAAGTTTTATCCTTTTTATTAGCCTTGGGAATAAAAATAACCCGCACTTGTCGCCACACTGCCGGTATATAGCTTAATATTAAGCTTGCTCGAAATATCTTTGTTAGAATAGGCATTACAACCGTTTTTCCCTTCTGTAGTAGTACAGGAAAAATTCCATCCCTACCTGGTGACTTGAAAGGTTCAAAGGAGTCAATCGCCCATTCAACTTTTCTTTCAGTAAAGATTTTGTTGGCCAAAGTGCAAGCATCAGCTCTTGTTCTGTCTAACTCAGTCGTTTCATTCAATATTTCATGAATATCCGTCCTGGTTTCATCGATACCAATTGCTGTTGTCGTCACGTTTTGGTCTTCGTTTGAATTAATAATAGAACATGGAAAATGCGTTCTCATCATCAACTCTAACGTTTCATTTGTAGAAGTAGTAAAAGAGCCATCCTCTTTTTTCAAAGTGCCCAGACCATTGGAATGATCTTTAGCGAGTATTTTCTGCAACCTAGCAGTTGCTGGAGTATTTTCAATGTTCTCACACGTATGCCTCCAGTGTATCCTCTTTGATCTCCGTATTTCCTTATTATAGGCGGTGAGGGATTCCTTATATTGTTCCCACTATTGTGTTCGTTTAGCCCTATTGAAAAGCTTCCGGGCTTTTTTACGAAGTTTCTGTAGCCTGTTGTTCCACCAAGGTACATCCCTGTTTGTAGAGCGTTCCTTTTCGATGCAACTCTCATAAAAGGCATGTTGGATCAAATTTGAAAGTTGTTTAGAACTATTCTCAAGTTCTTCACAAGTGTTTAAGTTAATTGCTATCGTGTCTCTTCCTGCCACTAGCTCTGAATTATATAGCTCCCAGTCTGTTTTCCTAGGATCTCTAAAAGTTTGTGTGAGCTGTTGACCAGCCTCATATTCAAATAATATTTGCTTGTGATCAGACAAAGATATTTCGTCTGACACATGCCAATTTTTGATTTTGTCTGAGATTATTGGACTACACAAAGTCAAATCAAGAACTTCTTGTCTAATTGCATTTATAAATGTTGGAGCATCTCCTCTGTTACATATATCTATATCATTGTTAGAAATATAATCTAAAGGGTGTCCACGATGAAATTGCCACACTATGAAATTGCTCTAACTTTTTAACCGTTGGGTAGAATTTAATGAAAATTTGGGTGGATTTAGTTCATAGTGCATTATTTACATCCTGCAAGTTTTAAAGTCCTGTGATCAAAACTCGCGGAAATGGAGTCGAAAGAACAGCTCGTGCGTGATAAAATCTTGCGCATTCATCACGAGAACAAGGATCTCTCGCATCGTTCCATCGCTAAAACGTTGGGAATCGCGAATTCCACGGTGTCGCGAGTGATTAAGCGGTTCGAGGAACGGTTGACCACCGATCGGAAGCCCAGAAGTGAAGGAAAAAGTATTCCGTACAACACCAAAAATCACAACCGCGTAGTTGGGGCCTTCAACCGAAATCCGAACGCCTCCGTTAGGGATGTGGCTAAGAAGCTGCACCTAAGCCGAAGTTTTGTCCAGAAGGCCAAAACTAAGGCTGGGCTTCGAACGTTCAAGGTACAAAAGGCCCCTAATCGCGACGAGAAGCAGAACAAGTCCGCCAAAACCCGTGCCAGGAAGTTGTACCTCAACATGCTGACGAAAGTTGAATGCTGCATCATGG